CTTAGTGTTGCTACATTTCAATTCCACAGTTTTTTCTTCCTCTTCCTCGTTTTCCAACGTCGAAACGGGAAATCAGTAGTCCACACTCTTGCGAATGGCTTGCGATACGTGACTTCAAAAGACAAGAGAAAAACAGGGACACTTTTTTGTTTTGATGCAGTCTTCTTAGTTAAAGCGATGCGTTGTCAATGGCACTAGCAACCGTTGTCATAACCAAAGATGCATCGATTAATTAGTTGACTGGTTGATTAACTGACTGTAGCAGGCAACGGTGAGGGCATTTGACACGCACTGTCCACACACAGTACACGAATGAATAGTCAAAGTGAAGGTCAGGTCTGCTGCCAAAAGCAACGGCTCCCATCCAGTCCCGCATCAACGCCAAGGGCAGATTGGGGAGGAAGGGAGGAGGGGCGGGCGGGCAGATCACTGTGTCGGCTGGCTTCACTCGATTTGAGGGAATGACGTTTGTGAGATGCTGTAAATTTGAACGGCCTCAGGCATGGAAGATCACGGCAGAGGTTGTGGAAGACAACTAATCCCACTTTTCGCAACACCATTAATTCGCCACCTTGGATGCAATTTTCGAGACAATAGGAAAATGCCTTATTGGTGACACATCACGATGACGTGTGATGCTCTTTGCCTTGGTGATTAGATTTGCTGTGTAATCGTACAAAGAGCATCCATTTATGATCACGACGATTCCGTTAACACCACCTGAGGGATAAGGGGACCGCAACATGACACAACGGGGTAAAAATTCCAGGCTTTGCGATAAGACCGGTCTTGAGAGGTGATGCAATAGAGCTTTGGGAAAGGTATAAATGAATTAGAGAGGAAGGGCAGATGATAGTGAACGGTTGGAATCCTTAAAAAAAGTCCCAAACAAAACCTGAAAATTACTCGGAGGAGCTTAACTCAATAGGCAACTGCAGGTATGTTGAATTGTTACTTCAAATATTTCATCAGATCTGCGATGGAAGGTGGACCAGGTTACCAAATAGTGGATGAGCGTGTGCATAGATGGATGGATAGACGGAGGAAGGGATGGACCAATGGGTGGATACAGGATATATAGACACGGGACCTATAGATAAATGGATGGATACGGAATGGATGAGCGTCTTCTTCTCCCATTACATCTCTTCGTAATCATGCCATCTGTCGCACTTCCTTTCATGACGGCCTTATGGACGGTAGTTCGGTGGTGCGTTGCCGTTGCGCGTTGAATAGAGGTATCCACTTCTCCAAGGCTTCATGGAAGCTGGCGTAAAATGGCAACAACAGGACGAGTGGCAGTTGCTTCTACGACTGGAACTACGACACAGATTACCAGGGATAAAATTTAACCGGGGATAAGGGTATCAAAGGCACAGTCTGATGCTTCTTGCCGAGATGAGAGATGGGAAAATGATTTTGAATAGGCACCGTCAATGATTTTACAGAGAATGGCAAAACGCGTTGACTCCTTCTGTAGTGGCAATGGCAGAGTCACACAAGCATGCAAACACGCAAGACCATGCAAGCAGACGGTTACCTGTCTGTCAAAAGGTTAGGTGATTTGTTTCACTGGGAAGTGGCGAAGAAGACGACGACGCCGACGCTGTCGATGGCCTCAAATTGTGTGCCAAAGGCAGGACGATGACTTTTGTGTGGAGAATGGTTAAACCCTCGAGACTGTAAATCTACTCCCGGTTTATGAAACGCAATTGAAAGACACCGTGATGTTGAAGTGAGTCCACATACTTCTGTCGAGACACACGCATGCACTCACTCAAGCCCTCAAGGCAGCTCTCTGATCGTCTCTGGTTGTCAGGGTTATTTTAACGACTGGCAATAAAAGTCTACTCACGCTTTGACTCAGACTCCAGGGCGGCCACAATCGTACCCGCAAAGCTCCTGTCCATGAGGGGTGGATTGACCTGAAGATTTTATAGGCTCTCTTAAAGCTTTTTCATTCTTAAATACATCAGGTGAGTTTAATGGCAAAAATAAAAAAAAAAAACAAACTTTCGAAGCCCTGGGGGAGAATAGTATTATAAATTGGGAATCCCAGCTATCACAATATCTTGCGTTCACATCTAATCACTACTGCACACCCAAAGGGGTATGACTTCTCCTTTCCTTTCCATGCTAGCTATTTATTATCAACTGTAGTGCTTCGAGACCCCTCTAAAGACGAGAGAGAAAATATTACCCAGATAGAGGATTCATTGTCGACGGAGGGAAGAGCTGGGCGACTACTGGCATGGCGCGGAGACCAGGCCGCCTGGTGGAGCCCCTAAGTAAGCCATTACAAAAAACTGGGAGTTGAACAAACACCTGACATGGTAAAATATTAACTTCTGTAATTCACATGTATGCGTTTTAGCCATGCAATGGATGAAACACATGACGACCGCTTAGTGGGTCCCGACCCTCCCCCCCTCTACTCCCTCCACATGTTTCATTGACCTTTTGATATTTAAAAGTCGACCTAAAATCCAGCATTTTATAAATATTTCAGGGTTATGAAAAAAAAGGATTGAGCGAGGTCACCACCTTTTTTTTCTTCCAAATTTTTATCAAGCTTCCGTTGCGTTTTATTGCCGCCTACCCTTTCGCACCCCTCCCTTCCCCTGTGTCCCCCCGCCATTTGACCTTTTACGAAGATCACATGAAGGTGACAGTAATTATAGAAAAGGCAATTAGTTATTATTCTCCTTTTTTTCCTCCATATCTTGCGTGACACTTTGCTACAAGGAAGGCACCAATTACTTAGTGTTGCTACATTTCAATTCCACAGTTTTTTCTTCCTCTTCCTCGTTTTCCAACGTCGAAACGGGAAATCAGTAGTCCACACTCTTGCGAATGGCTTGCGATACGTGACTTCAAAAGACAAGAGAAAAACAGGGACACTTTTTTGTTTTGATGCAGTCTTCTTAGTTAAAGCGATGCGTTGTCAATGGCACTAGCAACCGTTGTCATAACCAAAGATGCATCGATTAATTAGTTGACTGGTTGATTAACTGACTGTAGCAGGCAACGGTGAGGGCATTTGACACGCACTGTCCACACACAGTACACGAATGAATAGTCAAAGTGAAGGTCAGGTCTGCTGCCAAAAGCAACGGCTCCCATCCAGTCCCGCATCAACGCCAAGGGCAGATTGGGGAGGAAGGGAGGAGGGGCGGGCGGGCAGATCACTGTGTCGGCTGGCTTCACTCGATTTGAGGGAATGACGTTTGTGAGATGCTGTAAATTTGAACGGCCTCAGGCATGGAAGATCACGGCAGAGGTTGTGGAAGACAACTAATCCCACTTTTCGCAACACCATTAATTCGCCACCTTGGATGCAATTTTCGAGACAATAGGAAAATGCCTTATTGGTGACACATCACGATGACGTGTGATGCTCTTTGCCTTGGTGATTAGATTTGCTGTGTAATCGTACAAAGAGCATCCATTTATGATCACGACGATTCCGTTAACACCACCTGAGGGATAAGGGGACCGCAACATGACACAACGGGGTAAAAATTCCAGGCTTTGCGATAAGACCGGTCTTGAGAGGTGATGCAATAGAGCTTTGGGAAAGGTATAAATGAATTAGAGAGGAAGGGCAGATGATAGTGAACGGTTGGAATCCTTAAAAAAAGTCCCAAACAAAACCTGAAAATTACTCGGAGGAGCTTAACTCAATAGGCAACTGCAGGTATGTTGAATTGTTACTTCAAATATTTCATCAGATCTGCGATGGAAGGTGGACCAGGTTACCAAATAGTGGATGAGCGTGTGCATAGATGGATGGATAGACGGAGGAAGGGATGGACCAATGGGTGGATACAGGATATATAGACACGGGACCTATAGATAAATGGATGGATACGGAATGGATGAGCGTCTTCTTCTCCCATTACATCTCTTCGTAATCATGCCATCTGTCGCACTTCCTTTCATGACGGCCTTATGGACGGTAGTTCGGTGGTGCGTTGCCGTTGCGCGTTGAATAGAGGTATCCACTTCTCCAAGGCTTCATGGAAGCTGGCGTAAAATGGCAACAACAGGACGAGTGGCAGTTGCTTCTACGACTGGAACTACGACACAGATTACCAGGGATAAAATTTAACCGGGGATAAGGGTATCAAAGGCACAGTCTGATGCTTCTTGCCGAGATGAGAGATGGGAAAATGATTTTGAATAGGCACCGTCAATGATTTTACAGAGAATGGCAAAACGCGTTGACTCCTTCTGTAGTGGCAATGGCAGAGTCACACAAGCATGCAAACACGCAAGACCATGCAAGCAGACGGTTACCTGTCTGTCAAAAGGTTAGGTGATTTGTTTCACTGGGAAGTGGCGAAGAAGACGACGACGCCGACGCTGTCGATGGCCTCAAATTGTGTGCCAAAGGCAGGACGATGACTTTTGTGTGGAGAATGGTTAAACCCTCGAGACTGTAAATCTACTCCCGGTTTATGAAACGCAATTGAAAGACACCGTGATGTTGAAGTGAGTCCACATACTTCTGTCGAGACACACGCATGCACTCACTCAAGCCCTCAAGGCAGCTCTCTGATCGTCTCTGGTTGTCAGGGTTATTTTAACGACTGGCAATAAAAGTCTACTCACGCTTTGACTCAGACTCCAGGGCGGCCACAATCGTACCCGCAAAGCTCCTGTCCATGAGGGGTGGATTGACCTGAAGATTTTATAGGCTCTCTTAAAGCTTTTTCATTCTTAAATACATCAGGTGAGTTTAATGGCAAAAATAAAAAAAAAAAACAAACTTTCGAAGCCCTGGGGGAGAATAGTATTATAAATTGGGAATCCCAGCTATCACAATATCTTGCGTTCACATCTAATCACTACTGCACACCCAAAGGGGTATGACTTCTCCTTTCCTTTCCATGCTAGCTATTTATTATCAACTGTAGTGCTTCGAGACCCCTCTAAAGACGAGAGAGAAAATATTACCCAGATAGAGGATTCATTGTCGACGGAGGGAAGAGCTGGGCGACTACTGGCATGGCGCGGAGACCAGGCCGCCTGGTGGAGCCCCTAAGTAAGCCATTACAAAAAACTGGGAGTTGAACAAACACCTGACATGGTAAAATATTAACTTCTGTAATTCACATGTATGCGTTTTAGCCATGCAATGGATGAAACACATGACGACCGCTTAGTGGGTCCCGACCCTCCCCCCCTCTACTCCCTCCACATGTTTCATTGACCTTTTGATATTTAAAAGTCGACCTAAAATCCAGCATTTTATAAATATTTCAGGGTTATGAAAAAAAAGGATTGAGCGAGGTCACCACCTTTTTTTTCTTCCAAATTTTTATCAAGCTTCCGTTGCGTTTTATTGCCGCCTACCCTTTCGCACCCCTCCCTTCCCCTGTGTCCCCCCGCCATTTGACCTTTTACGAAGATCACATGAAGGTGACAGTAATTATAGAAAAGGCAATTAGTTATTATTCTCCTTTTTTTCCTCCATATCTTGCGTGACACTTTGCTACAAGGAAGGCACCAATTAGCGTCACCTTGTCAGCGTGCACGCACGCACACTGGATGCACCACATGAAGCCGAAGAATCGAAGTAAAAAGCACTTTTTTGGGAAAAAAAATACCTTTTGCTTCTTCTCTGACCCTTCAACCAAAATAAGGCTGTGATTCTTGCGTTTATACACAAATTTTCCTCTGTAAAGTGATTTATTGACATCACTGTGATCAGTCGAAGTAAAGGCAGCGTTCGCAACACACCACCTCACTGGAAGAAGTAGATAGAAGGGTGACAGAGGAAAGGAATGGTTAGCTGAACGGATGGAGGCAACATGGGTGGATGGATGGATAGATGGACGAACACTAAGGGAATGGGCGGATAGTAGGTGAAGGGATAGATGGACAGATGGAAGGGGCGTGGACGGATACGGGGTGGGTGCAAAATGAATGAATGAGCGGATGGAGGAACAGGAGGAGCTAAAGTGGATCGGAACCCGACCACGTGCTACTACAAATGAAGCAGCCTTCTCCCTAATAATGCAATCCCTTAAATCACCTTCCTTCCATCCCATTTCACCGCTGATCACAGTCTACAAGAGGACTCATGACCAAGAAGACTTTTCCCTTCCCCATGGTTCGGCAGCCGCCTCGCACTAGCAGGTCTCATGGCGTCTTCAAGAGTGATGCAGAGACGACAACGTCAAATCGGACAGCAACACTAACAAGAACGAACAAAGAAGTGGAAAATTTTTATAAAAATTTATTTGTGATATAGATATATGGATGGTAAGAGAGGGGTGATAAAGACACACATACACACACATGCACACATACAGACACACAAAACGAGGGCCGAGGGTGGAGTAGAAGGATGGGGGGGGGGAGGATTTGTCGGTCTGTGCAAGTGTGCAATGGAAGGAAGGAGGGGGGAGGGGGATGGGCAACATGAGCAGCCACATCTCTCTAAAACATCGCAATGGGGCAGGAGGAGATTACAACCAATCAACCCGAAACACGTGGAACACACCAACTGAGTCATCTGTATCACAGCCCACCATTACCACCTTCTTCGGTCTCAAAGCGTGAAATTTTCACCTCCGCTACCATGGGTGCCTCAGCAGAGCCTTCGGTCTCCCGACGTCGTTTCCTTTCGCCCAATCTGGCCTCCATTGCCGCCAGCATGGAGACATTCCCGATATCCACCAGCACTTTGCCTGTGCGCGTGTGTGGGGGAAGCACATGTACCCAAGACTCATTGAAACCGTCTCCCCAGGCGTTTAGATCGTCCTCAGGAGGCACGGTTTGTAGATAGGAGTCCGTGTAAGGCCACAGGAGGTAGCCGGAGTCACCTCCCCCTACTACGCCTTCATGCACATCGCGATACTGCACGTGGAGGTGAATGCCCCTTCGGTGGAACTTGTACTCTCCGCGGTAAGCGGCCAAGAAGGCCTCAAAGCGACTTCTGTCGTCTCCTTCATCAAACAATGTGGGCGGGTCGACAATGTTTGAGGGGGGTTGGGGGTCCGTTGTTGACACCTCCACGGTGGGATCCAGAGCGCCTTGAGGTGCCCAAGCAATGTCTGTGAGGAGACTCCAGTCCGCACCTTCATCGGAGTGGAACAGACGCGGACGAAGAGACTGGTTCAAAGAATTGGGATCGGCTGGAGAACTACGACGATGAAAAGAGCTAAAAATATAAAAGAGACCCAATTTGGCAAGGGCAAGGAGGTGGGGATGGTGGGAACAGGAGGGGTCGAGACGTACTCAGTGAGGGAAATGACTTCTCTAAAGCGCTGTTCAAAGGCCGAGTTCGTCTCCTCCATGGCGCATTCGCTGCGATCTATGGAGTAGTCATGCGAGATCATCACGTGTACGGATTTGGCGTTCCGCCACAAGGCCTGTTCCACAGCCTCGTGGTAGGGTCCAAAGGGTCTGGCAACAAAAACAACAACAAGTGGGATAAGACTACTGGAAATTCTTCTTTGGGAAGGCACTAACGATTAACTTGGGGTGGAACCAGAATGCAGCTCAACAAAAGGCCAAAAATCCCAACTTACTAGGGATAGGACACAAGGTCCTTCGAGCCAGTGTCGAAAGGTATCTACAGAGGATCTGCCCGATTATTTTGAAAGGTTTAGAGAGTGCTCCATCGTGCAAATGGGTTGTAGTTCAATAAAGATAACAGTAAAGATTTTACTCAGCCGAGAATAGAGGAGAAAGTACTAGAACCTACCTTGAAAAGTTGTATGTAATATGACGAAAGAGCAGTACATCGAACCAAAAACTGAAAACCATTAACATCTCTTGACTTATGGTCTTCGGAAAGCCACAAAAATCGACCGAAACGCGTGCTCCACAAAGTGGAAATATGACGCAAAACAGCAATTCAATGAACGTCAGCTGATTGAAAAGTTCAATTCGCGCATGTGATCTCTGAGCTTTAAGTAATCACGTGGCACATGAGAAAGACAAACCTGAGCCAAGAACGTGGTGGCGGGTGGCAATGAAGTTGATGCATTAGCAATGAATTTGGCTTGACCCCATCCCACCCCGCTCGAGAAGTCCCGTTCCACCTGGAGTGGGACGACTTGACCTTTGAGGACAGACCACTTGACCATGCACCACATGGGGCAGGGCTGAGGTGATGTGAACGTAATGGGAGGCTAAACGACTACGGATGTTTACCTCCTCTCCTGTGGTTCCACCTTCAAAACAATACAGTCCAATTCGACTGCGAGTCTCCCAGTCCTCCTCAACACGAGGCTGTACTGCGTCACATTCGTATGCTCACAGAAACAAGTCCAGGGAGGAGATACGTCCTAGCAGTGATGTTCGAGACTGCTGACCACATCACCATCATGTCGTCACTTCACCACGAGTGATTGAAAATGACTATTTTCGACAACTCCTCGACACAGCTACCAAAAACACATTCCGAAGCAACACTTCGTTGTCGATACCAGTTCTAAGTTGACATGATATTGAGTCGTCCGCCTGAATGCACGCCAACAGCGGCGATTGGTCAGTGGGGAGGATGGCCTACATGCTAGACAGGCGCTCCCACATCCCGTGAGCAGCGCCTTAGCGGCATTACACACATAAACACCCTGGATGAAGCCTCCCGTGCTTCCGACGAGGTGTGATTAACTTCAATGCCGGTAATTTTAACTTCGAGGTGCAAGGGTGGAGGTTTTATGACTACATGGCTTGAGTAAATTATATTAAGAAGCCGCAAAATTATTTTCAAGTGCCAGTTCACTGACTCCCCAAGTCTTGACGTAAAAGCTCAATGCAACGCCTAATAAATCTGCTGAGGGTAAATTCTTTGGGAAGTAAAAAAATGAAAGGGTACCACCTCCTTCCCCCAACCAGACAGTGGATGCCGCAGTGGTGGGGTAGCAACAGGGAAGCAAGTCATGCAGCAACCTGATCGTCTAATAATGGAGGCCCACCACCTCCGAGGGACAGACGATAGAAGAGACACAAACACGAGACCTATCATGTAGGCCAAATGCATTGAAGCGCATGTGAAAAATAGCACGCAATCTAGCACTTGTCGCTGGCACAAAAAACGCGCCTGCTGAATGGCCAGAAAAGTGGCTACAAATTTTGGCTAAGGAGTGAAATAAACACCCCTTTGATATACATCAGTCCATCGGTGCGGTAGTCCACATTGTGCTCTCCCTCTCGCCCGTGGTTGCCTCCTATCTCGAATGACCCCACCATCTGGAATCCAAGCCTGTCTGCACTACGGTGTATGCGTGTGTGTGGTAACAGAACCAACCGCCTGAAAATGGTCGAGCCATTTTGATTGCGGTAGTGAACCACCCGAAGACGATCCGTCACATGATTCCGACATTAAGGTGGCAAAGGCAATCGTCAGAAATGCTCAGCTTTGTGAGCGGTGAGGCAATTGATCCACACCAACATCAACCGGCACGGAAAAGTAGTGCTGCGGACTAGAGTGAATGGCTCTCCGGCCGGATGTCGTGCAACAACAGCCAAGACCAAACTCCTAGGACAGACAATTTGGACACTGCATTTTGAACTGTCAGCTGGGTGATTTGTGACAAGGAGTGGCAAAAAAAGGTCATTGCCTATGCCCAAATGACCTAGCCTTCACCACCCACATCAGACTTCCAGGGCGTCACTACAGCCGTTCCCAAAAGTAGTCAACACTGGTGAATCAGCGAGAAAGTCCTCTTCCTACAAGAAAACAGAAGACCCAATACCTCAAAACTTGCTCTCCGTGTTCCCCTAATGATGTTTCTCCAAGTGACAAGTACCTCCTCCTCTTGTCATTGTCGCTGGACAACCAAGTGGTCAGCAGAATAGCCACTTGAGGTGAGCAGGACAAATTCTTTTACTCCGTGATTTGTGAACACCTTCAACCTCGTGGGAGAGGATTGCAGACTACCAATCACAGTGATGGTTAATTCAAGAAGAAAAAGCAGCACACACTTGAAGAAGCCCCCTGAGGTTATTTAGTCCTTGTTAATCAAACAACCGTCCCATCTTATTTGGCAAACGAAGAAAAAGTGATGAAATAGCTTGTAAAGCAACAAACCACCATTGCAGAACTAATTAGGGGGAAAATAACTAAAAGAAGATTTGCTTCAAATACTTATTTGGAGCTGTAGAAAAGGAATTATCCGATCACAAAATCAAGAACCACGAGTAAAGGTACGACGCTTAAAAATATAACCAAAAAAATTGGGATAAGAATAGCGGAGCGCCCTAAATCACGATTTCGAGGTTTTGTAGATGCTATACGCGCAAAGTAGACAAAAAACTACTCCCTGGGAAGGAGTAACTAGATGTACAAAAGAAAACAACAGAGGTAACAAGCAAATGAGTCACGAAATGTAGGTTGCATACCAATCACAATTTCTTGCGACAGAAAATGTACCAAACATCGTGATTTCTTGATAGACAAGAGCTCTGCCTCTGACAGATGTAAAGCCCAGTGTGCGTTAAAATCTCCTCCCTAGTAACCCCCAAAAAGAAACAACTAAGGACGAGAAAGCAATTTCCCCAAGGACTAAGGCGTTGGTTAGGATTGTAGTTTTCCGAAACAACCTTAAAGCAGGCATAAACCTCACGAGTAAAACATAAAGCACAAAACAAGTATAAACCCATCATTTGAGTAAGGCGGGGGAGGGGTGGAACTCACCGAAAAGTGATAAACATATTCTCCTCATGATAGGGATAGAGGGCAGCAACAGCACCGAGCCAATTGTAGATAGCGAATTTCGGACATCGGATAATGCGAACACGTCGGAGGGAGGGCACCGGATTGGTCATCTTCACGGGGATACGGGGCGAGAAGACAGTGGAGGAGGCGGTGATGGCGGTAGCGGGAGCACCGGTCACAACGGCGTGGAACAGTATGGCGGTGAGAGCTGGACAGTTTTCCAGGGTGATGTTCTTCAACCGCGGCACGCTGGAGAGCACCAGGTGGGTGAGACCCACGTGTTCAAAGTGCAGCGTGGTGAGACAGCTGAGGGGAGAGGCAATGGGTTGTCGCAGGGTTAGCACACAGGGCTTGGGACCCACGAATTGGCGCAACTCGCTTGTGTCAACGCAGGCGTCGCGAGCCGTCCAAATGCGCGGTGTGTGGTGCAGTGACGGTTCCGCCTGTGTTTCCGAAGGCGATTTCTAAAAAAGGGCTGATAGTTTGGAAGGAGCCTACGGAGGTCAAATAGAGCAGCCCGTAGCTAAACCGAATGTCGAATGAATATCTTAAGAGGTTACTTTAGTCCCCCACCATTCGGCATCCACCACTAGTGCTGCTAGCATTCCAGCCCCACTATATTTCGATTATAAGGCTGCTTTCAAACACGTTTGCTATCAGGGTCCGTCGCAGAGAGAAACCGACCATCACAGCCCAGATTTTTTATTGGTGGAATGGCAACAATACTTATTCTACCGAATTGTTGCTCAAAGGGAGAAGATGCAGTTGACCTCCTCAAAACAAAACCATTCCACATCTTCTCTGGTGTGCCTTAAACTCAACAAGTCACCATAGACCACTGGAGAAAGTATGGCACATCTTTAACTCTAGGCTCAGGTAGTAAAATCATCGCCACACATATGCGATGTTAAGAGCAAATGTGCAAAAGATATCTCCAGAGATGGCTCATCAACGAGCCTACTCCGTTGGCTCAGTACTCAATGGATCGGGGATGTCCATGCAGGAACTGCTTACAATGTTGACATGAAAATAGTGAATTGCATGCATTAACCAAAGGCCTCACGCTTCCCCCTAATTGGCAGTTTGAAGGCATTAAAATGTCAACACAACGAAAGGGAGGAAATAGGATGAAAAAAACAAACTCCACAATTGCAACTATAGATGGAACCGACTAACGAGCTCCCAACAAAACGAAGTGAATGTCGGTTAAAAGGAATCAACAACAACGACAATTTGGGCATGGGGAATTACTCACTACTAATCCCGAACTACATCCGAAGCACTCGCCAGATCCACACAGGGGCCGAACATAAGAACGCTGCTTATCCCGAAGCCGATCAAAGGCGGTTGTGGCGCATATCTTATCCGCCCAATCCGAGCAGATAAGTTTTTGGTAGAGCGCGTTATGCTGTAAGAGCACGGGGAAGGGGTGAAAGGCCAATGGGCCGCCCAACTGATGCTGATGTTGGTACAGGCCCTGGTCCTTGGGGTCTGCCGGAGGTAACTGGGAGGGTCCAGATTCCACATGGAGGCGTTGGACGAAATCCCATTCAAGTAGACCACACACACAAGTCTGGGTGGAGCGAGAGATAAAGGAGGCGCTTTTTGCTTCTTCTTCTTCCTCTCCCATGCCAACCTCTGGTGGATGGTCAATCAGAGCAGTGTCAAGGAGTAGACGATGAATCCTGCAAAGTCCAAAGGCGCGGCGTCCACACGTGCCGTCCAGTTGAAGCAGAGAGGTCAGGTAGGTGTGAGTCCGCAGAGTGAAGAAGATGTCAAAGGGTTGGACGGGCAGTTCGTGGACACGGAGGCCGGTGGTGGCGACTGAATGCGAAACATCACGAACCGAAGCACCCATGCCAATACCGACAGGAGAGAGGGGCGGATAGGCGACGAGACGAGACGAGAGGAGGTCCGCAATGGAAAGAAGGAGACCCAGCTTCCGGTAGTCAGGACCAGTTGAAAGTTCTCTTTCCTCGCCTCCAGCCCCTCGCAATGTGTTGGGGTCGAGCAACCACCGCTGCGACCAGTAGTAGGCAGGTCCCATAAACGCAGTCTCTCGGCTCAAGGGGAACATATCACGCAAGACGAGGGATTCCAGAAAGCCGAAGGGGTCGCCTTTTGCGAGGATACTCTCCAGTTCTGACACGGTTATGCCAGGGCAGTTTTCCAGAGTCAGAGATTTTAAGGGGAGAGAGGAACGATATACAGTGTTAGGAACGATTTTAGGCGCTCCCGATGATGACGTTGGTATTTGAGGCGGCTGTGGTAGTCCAGGGACCGTTGATGTTGACGATTGAGGGAACTGCGATGGCACAGGAGTGGCGATTGAAGTTGAAGGTTGCGAAGGTGCTGTAGCAGCAGCCGCTGCTGTCACAGCCTCCACAGGAATGAGCTGGTCGATACGGGGAAAACGGGTGATGTAGGGCGCGTGTCGGATGGTGAGGCTAGAGAGACGAGGGCAAAGTGGAAAGACGAGAGCGAGACCGCGATTTGTGAAGGAGCAGTAGGGCAAAGAGCTCTCCGTAGACTCAGCCAGATCCAAATCCATTGCTTCAGTGGGAGTGAGACGCGCTCGGTAGGGATCCTGATAACCTGAAAGGTGAAGGGTGAGAAGAAGGCGTCGTTAATGAGGGCACCATAAACCCTCCTCCAACACCCCCGAATGTAATAAGAGAGGAAGTGACCTCAAGTGAACACGCGGGTGATGCGTCATTGCACGGTGAATGTACATGACCTCGCGACAAAACTGATTTCAGGTCACATGGAGGCGCTATTCGATGGCGAATCTTAGACGACTGGGAGCCTTCCGTCCAACAACACGCAAACACAGAGGGAACATGTATGTAGTCAAGCGTTGGAGTACGTGATGAAACAGTGCTATAATTGCTAAAATGATCAATTTCGGGTCATTAAAGTGTTAGAGCAACCAGAAGGATTGTTGGCTATTCATGCCACAACGGCACGAAATGCACGCAAACATTGACAAACCACGTACGCATTGCGTTTGGCAGTGACCCACTACTTCGCACGTGACGGTAAAAATTGACCATGTTATGTAAGAATGAAGGCGGTGGTGTGAATAGCATGGGTGGAGTTAAATAACTAGCGGAGTTTCAAAGTGAAGTGAAGTGAGGGTAGTTTTCCACTTGCATGTTTAATTTAGAGTAAATCCAAACATAGCGCAAGTCAGTTTTTGTTGACAGGGCGACAAATTCTAGAGCCGTCAGAGGATCCGACACCAGTGAAGTTTTGAAGACGATGAATATTGCCAGAAAGTGAGGGATAGCGCAAAGAACAGAGCTAACAGGGTTAGAAAGATGACAGAAAGGTATGCACGAGAGGAGAATGAGTCATTAGTGTTTCTTCCAAATGTTTTCCTTCATCTGCAATGGGTCTCCAGAAGTACCAACACAGTCGCAATCAGGCGGGGAGAGGGGGGGGGGGGGCACCAGCTAGAACACGAGAGCAGACACGTCACTGGCATGGAATGCAAGAACCAACCGGTAGCAGCACCAGCATCAGAAGCACATGGTGGCTCCGTGAGTGTGTGCATTCGAGCTACCGAGTTGGAAAGTGTCTTTTGACAGTGAAACTGAAGTAGCTTAGTCACACATAGAGAGAGGGACCAGAAAAATGCCACACACACAAGTACACTCAGGCAGAGGAGGCAATTTTGACAGCAAAACCACACGGGCTATACCAAATGCACTAAACGTGTGAATGCCATTTGTCAAAACTCCCCTCCTCCCCAAACCCTTTGCAAGCATTATATTGCATCTGAGGTGATGCAGTTTTGTCTTTGTAAGCCCTAGAACGCTACACAGTCGGTCTTGTGGTACTACCACAACTCAGTGCGCTACAAAGAATGGAAACAGAACGATCTTGCAAAAAACTCCCAGAAGGATTACTTTTTTGTAGTCTCAAGACCCAAACGACCATAGGGATGGACTAGAGACTCGGCCCGAGGAAGAATGACAATATCCTGTGGTCACAAAGCACCGGTAATTCTGAAATGGCTCGAATGATAGAAGAGATGTGAGATGATAGGAAAGGCAAAGAGGATAAAATCACCAAAGGGATTGGCGGAGGTGCTGCCGAGAGTAGACAAAAACAACAGGATCCGATTCTAGTTGGTGATTATAGCGCTCAGCGCACAAAGAGAAACCCAGAGCAACTTTCTGTTTTTTCAGCTCAGCACGTAGAAGCACTCAAACAGACGATACGTCCTCAGACCCTCAGAACACCGATGGCGTCTTTATTTAGAAAAAAACCACTTAACTTGGTAGAACCATACCAATTCATTTTGGACAAGATAAAAACGCACCCTCAAGAGATTCAAAAGCCAGTGAAGAAAGGGCTCCAGCAATTGACAATTTAGGGAAAAAGCTTTGGGAAGGAAATTTAGCAGTTATTCAAGGAAATTTAAAGAAAGGATTCTAATGAGTAAAAATAGGGACTACTAAATGAAGAGCAAGTTCGCGAGGCTCTCAGCATAGCTCGCTAAAATCACCTGTTCCAACTTGTAACCACTTGTCACACTCGTGTCGCACTTGTGCACACCTGCATCATGAGGCACATGTTTACGTTGGTCCGCTACTCTCTGTAGCACTCTCCACACCACCGCCTGCCCCATCTTCGACGTATCTTCAACACACTGCCGCAGCCCCTACAATCTGTGTCGGTGTAGCTCCAGCTTGTCTGCTTCGCATCCTAAGTTAGGCGCAATTTCAATGCCACACCCTATCGCCATTCCCATGCCCAGACGACTATGCGTTCTTTATGCGGGCGTGTGCAGTGGCGTGCGTGGACTACAGACATCATTTTTCACTAAGACTTGTCTGGTCATTTCCTGAAGGGCCTCCTTCTCCTTCTTCATTTATCCAGAGGCAAGTCCTCTTCTTCCATCATACCACAAACAACACCCACTCGAAATTTTTGAAATTGGGCAAGAGAGGGCGGCACTGCACCGCATCGCCTCCCCACATCATCCGATTGGCACTCTTTCTTGGCATTAGCTTTAGACAATCGCATGACTGCATTCGAGATAGGTAGTTGGGAAGTAAACTGACAATAAAGTGTGGGTAGCTAGGTCTACCTTCACTCCCTTCTCACTCTCCAAGGGCAGAACAATTCAGAAAAGCTGGATGCACAGGAACCTTCTGCATCGTAGAGTACGTATTTTAGCTTTAAAATTTTATTCGGCTACTTCACAAGAATGAAGCGTAACCGTTGGAGTAAACAAAATTTGAGTTGATAGTTCAAAGCACCCCGGCGAAAAAAATCGCCGACGGCAATGAGAGAGTAAGAAGTAAACTTGGAGGACTAGCGGCAGAAATTTAGACCGAAAACTATGGATGAGTTGTTCACAGAATATCGAAGTGCAGCCACCATTTCGACAGAAAAAAAAATCAGCAACACCAGCGTTGCATTTTCCGGTGTAACACCGTAGAAGCCAGAGGAGAGCCGTGCTCTCGAAAGCTTATAATGACGGTTGGTGAAATTTCACATCCCAATGACGCAGGATAAACGCACCCACGAAATCCCCCATACCCATGATGGAATACGAATGGGGGATAAAATAGACGTGCTATGGAAAAATACGCATAAAAAATATTCTTTACGCATAAAACTAACCCAGAATAAGGCTCTCCAATCGTGATAGCCGAACCCTGGCGTAGGAAAGGGCCTCAAACAGCGAATTCTTCGTGTGCCAGAGTTGTAGAGCAGCATGGACGAGACTCTGTTGACCCGCGAGTAGCAGTAGACCAGCATCCACCGCCGTCGAGTCCCTATTACCCGCTAGCACCAGCCGTTGGAGGTTTCGGAAACAGAGAATTGGAGGCTCATGGCGGTCCACAATCTGCTCCAGAAGACCTTCTGCAGACCGAAAAGAAGGTAGGAAGCGAACTTCGAAGGGACAGAGTGAGAGTGACGGAGAGTTGAGCGAACTCACCAATAAAGCGTGTGCCAACAAGCTCCAATCGAGCCAGCTGAGGGGCTCGAGCAAGAACTGCAAAGACACGAACGTATCGGAGGTATCGTCGCGGCCCAACGCAGTTGTTCATCACAAATGATTGCAGCTTCCCGGCTTGAAACGAGGCAAATGGATCTTGTTGAGTGAAAAGGACCTAAGGGCGGAGAGAGGAACACACGTTAATCATTTCATTTGTGGCTAGGATGATTCACGCACCCACACGAAGAACTGTAAGCCCATGACACTACGCAGAAGATCCAGATAGGAACCACTTAATCAAGAATCCTGCAAAACTAGAAGCTAACTCATTTCGGTAACAAAAAACATGCCATATTGATTTCAATTTAACTTGAGGGAATAGCTAAGTCTCAAACTCACCCACTTCAAGTGGAGGTACTTGACATTATCAAGCCTGGGAAGAACCGAAATGGCAACAGAGACAAGATCGAGCTTCGTGAGGTTGGATATGGCCAGAGGAAGGCTGACCGACGGTGTGCGAGTGAGTTGTGAGAAGGGTGAAACTGGTGCACCAGTTTGCGTGTCCCTGGTACTTCCTGCTGCTGCTGCCGCGGCCGCAGCTGCAGCTGCCGAAACGCCCGAGAGCAGTGCAGCGATCGGAGGTCTGCACAGGTGCGTCATCGCCCCACCACTAGTGCTACCTACTGCACCACCCCTCACTCTCCGCCTCGGATTCAAATCATTCCGATCTTGCACACCCTCCGGCGGCACAAACGCCGTGGCGATAGCGAACGCCATCATCGACCCGTGCGCACCCTGCTCCCAGCCCGCATTTGATGACTCCACCGATGCTACCGTAGGAGGTGATTCCGTCACTACTGGTGCCTGGTTGACGTTCCGTTGAGCGTGCATATGGAAGTGTGGTTGAAGAAAGACGCGATGAGCGTGCGGGTAGAGGTAGGTGTACTGTGGACAGCATGGAGATCCCTGAAGCTGCGGCACCTCCCCTACCGGCTCAAACCACCTTGCTAATCGAGCTCCACTGGCAGCAGCTCGGTGAATGAAAGCAGCCGCCACGTGAGCGAGATTATTTGTAGTGGAAGATGGAGTAGAAGGACCATCTGATGGACTAGACAGCGGGACAGGCTCTGGTGGCATAGGAACCGCATACTCACTATCCCAACTGTCCGGTCGGTTTCGGAACATACCATGAAATTTAACATTGGGTAGACGGTTCACGAGGAGGCTCATTAGGCCCACATCCATCAACTCAACCGAGCGGAGTTTTGTGCAACTACGAAATGCCTCAAACACCCCATCGTAGGTGAGAGCATGGGTGATGTGCTGTAACTCGGGGGAAGTGTTGTCGTAAATGCGACGTGGATAGAAACCAAGAATGTGGGTGACCTCGGGAGTGTAGGACAGAATGCGCTTCAGTGCAGCGTCGTTGAGCTTTCTCGGTAAATAGGCAAAGGGCAATCCCGAGCTGAAGTTAATTCGTTTTAACGTTCTCAGATGCCTTGTTGTGATAACTTTTAGTCGCTTGTTGAGGCACTGAAGGGAGAAGAGGTCCTGGACACTGAGATATTGGGCAATGCGGAGAATGAGTTCGAAGGGAAGACTGTCTAACTGGCGCGGTGCAGCCTGCCTCTCTTCCCACTCTCTGCGCAGTTGTTCCTGACGAATTCTCGAGCGTAGAGGGTAGACATGCGGTTGAGACTCTGCTGCTGAATCAACATCCATGTCTGACTCCAAGTTTGCCTCTACTGTCGGTGTCTTCAATGCTGGCTTCTTTGGATTTCCACGAGAAATTGGTTCACGTTTCCTTTTGCCACGTCTACCGGTGACGGAAGTAGCAACAGCGACTACCAAAAGTGAGGTGATTAAAAAGAATCAAACCAATAAGTGAATGACCAAAATTCAAAAAAAAACAAATTTACGAAGGATGACACCAACTCACTGTGCTGATCGGTCACTATGGAACAGGGCTCACAGGTGTTGAGGAAGGAGCAGGAGGAACTTTCATTGAACAGACCCTGGGATGGCGGATTATTGTCTGGTTGATGTTGTGCGGAAAGAACGGGCTCCCCTGGCGATAGGATCATGGAAAGGGGCTCGAGAACGGCATCAACGAGGGAAGTGACAGATGAGAAGCTTGAAAGACTGGACTTGGGAAGGCGAGTGGTTGAGCAGGCTGCAATCACTTGTTGCCTAAATGCTGCGTCCACGGGGAGGGCAGAGGATGAGGTGGAGGGTATGGAGGAATCACAGCTAATTGAACGAGGAACGACGGAAACGGAGGAAAGAGATCTCTGAACATTTTTGTCAACAGCGACAACAGTAGTCGAGGAATCGCAGGTGGATTCGGTGTCTGGAAACGACGTTGGTGGCAGTTTTGCAACCTGTTCGTCTTCATTCTCGCTATTATTACCCTCGTCATTACTCTGTGGAGTCTGTGTTCCAGAGCCATCATCGTCGACACGAACGGTAACTTGCACCGCAGTAACCTCTTCAACTACCGTCTTAATGGCTTCCATGCGGGAGTTAGAATCAGATTCGCCGGAATCACCAAAACACTTGGTGGGACCTTCCGACGCGAATTCGCCATTACAAATGATATCAGCGGCAGAATCTGCAGCGGAAAGGGTCTCGCGAATGTTATTTCCGGCTACAGATCGGTTCCGCCGAGGCTTTCGACATGGCTGTTGAACGTCAGAGCTGCCTAACGAGGCTCCACTACCATATCGATAACGTTTTTGGCGTCCGCCACGGGGAAACCCATTATCGACTGAGGGTGAACTGATGGAATTGCTGCGCCTGGGAAGGCCTCCAGGGGAACTTTGTCGACGCGATTGATTTGGAGAAGTAGAGCCATTTTGAGGTTTTGAGTGATTGATGCGCATAGGCATTTCAAGGAACACAAGGCGGATCCAATTTGGCAGCGCACACCTACAGAATGGACGCGCAAAAGCTTGAGCAGTTTTACATCAAACGAGAAAGAATATCGGTCTTCTTTAGATGGGACAAGTGATTACCAAAAAGTGGGTCCTAATAAACAAACACTCAGGTTGTGGAGGACCGATGTTAGTAAACAAAACTAAGTGAGGTAAGCGATTGTGAGAAATTAACAACTGCATAAATCAGTGATAAGACAGAACCATTTATTAGGAAGAAGGAAACTATGCTGACCTTTTCCACCAGCAAATAAGGAGGACAGTTAGCTAAACCTATATCTCGGTGAAAATAACGGATTGGGAACGCTATATCTACGAGAAAATTTGTCTGTAAAAACATTGTAACAGGCATGAGTAAGGAATCCAAATACCCGTAGAACAAACGCAGGCTAAACTACCCAAGTATAGCTCTACCCGATTATCCTAGCGGTTAAGCAACAGGCGCAAAAACAAGAAGAGAAAATGGCGACAACTATGGCGATACCTAAAATGAAGTAAAACCCATAGAGAACATTTAAAGTAGGCTAATAACCAATTTCGCCAATTCAAACAAAAAGCAAAAGGTTGATACATTTTTAGCAAATCCCAAAAAAACAAAAAAGGTAGATACAATTTTTAAAGATTAAAACAATGTTGGCAATTTAAAAACATTCTTGGTTAGTGAAACATAGCAATGCGTACAAGAAAAATTTGTCAAATTACAGGCTAATTTTTTGAACCCTAAAATGTGGGGTTTCTTCTGACTTCTGTACTTATATCTTACTTCGCCTGCTAAAAGTAAAAAAACTTTAGAGTTTTTGAGTCTTTTCTGAAAACTAAACAAGATATACTTCACTGACGGCATATATTCCCTAGACTTACGGAGGTTTTTTGGACTACCGGCTTGGCCTGAGGGCCAACTCACCCGGTATGGTACAATGAACAAGTCGAAATTGACTTTTATTAAGACCAAGGGTTAAACAACCATTGTATTACTTAGCCCCTCTGCTCTTTAGGGCGTCGTCTCCCATGCTTCCCATGGTCAATGTCCCGCATCAACTATCACAATGCATTTAATGCTGTAAGAAAACACTTACGGGCTAGCCGTGCCATTTATAGGATTTCAAGGCACTAGGGAGATACTTGATTACAACGTCACTGATCCCCTCGGTAATTTATTTGATCTGGATTTTCGTCCACTTTGGGAAATTGATCTAGGAACAGACTTGTTCTGGCCATCATGCACATTTAAAAATAAAATTAGCAACACTAGCCTAGAGGTAGACATGGTTAAGGAAAGATGGGATGTAACACAGCTCCGTAGGGAAAGGGTTTTGCATCTGTTTCTCCTAGCCACGTTGATCCCAATTCCAAGCTGCCGCCCTACATCTATTAGGGCTCTCTTTAGCTAGTGAAGGAATGAAGGAGGTATTGCAAATTCACTTTATTTACAGCTTTATGCACGTACGGCAGGGAAAGCCTGCAAAGAAAGTTTTAGATGGTTCGCGGCTGGTGTCGCTTCAGCTGTTAATATCTTTCCCATAGGACACGGGCCTGGAGAAGATTTCAAAGATTGACTTCGATTCCAACCCATTTGTTTGGGGTAATCACCACTCTCTTATCTATAGCGTATGCACTTCTTCCGCCTCGTTGTTAAATTTCAGGATGGATATCACTGAGGATGGGGTTCGCTTTCCGCTGCCGACAATGTAGCACCCCGAGACTTCCCTGATGATGAAAGAAGACATAATGCTCCGACAAAACATATACAATTGCCGTACAGAAGGTATTTGAGCTTCTGGCATATCAGGAAGGCCAAGTTAAAAACAGCTCTTTACAAAACAGAGGGTCAAACAACAATTTTTTACAATAAAAATTACACAGGGGTGAGTTTTGATCAACAAATTGAAAAATAACGCCGCACCAGCTCAATTTTAACACCCGATATGCTAACTTGAATATATTAGGCAGCAGTGCTGCTTTTTCAAAAACAAAAGACGGCAAAATAAATATATATTGTCGACATAAAATGGGGCTCAGGGCTACTGGCATGGTTCTGAGACCAAGCCGTCAAACGTCGCCAAAAGCGTGAGTTAAATAAATCGTATTATATTTGCTTGTTGAGAACGAGTAATCCAAAATTTCAATGGTCGCACCTATATACAACGTTGTGCGGGCACCTCTACGGAGATAATCCGTCCTGCATGCTTTCAGAAAAAGTGTTGCATATAAATTTCACATTTTGGGTGTAAAGTGCTTTTTAATGAATAGCCTAAGCATCACACACTAATAAATTATTTATTTTGGTCAAATAAATGATTAATTTTCCTCTCATTTTGCGATCAATAGGCATCGTTAATACCAAGTGTTTCCCTTTATTATTTTTAAAAAGTACAGCAGATGCTATAAAAATAGGGATGCTTGCTTTACGATTCATTAAAGGGAACTGTCATTATTTTCCAAAGTATCATATTTTTTTCGCTGCAAACTAATGTACTGTAGAGAAACATACTTAGCTAGAACAGGAAAAAGGTGGGAAGACCCTGATTGATGGAAGGGTGATACATTCTATAATGACTTTAAAAATGCTTCGGCTATTGATGGTCTACATGCAGAACGCGAGCTTTGTGTAAACACTTAAATCAAGTATTTGTGCCATATTTTCTCAAGTGAACTCAAAAATAGCAGCAGATGCTCCTCTTTTGCGGTGCCAGTGTTTGCAGTTCAACCTTGGAAGCTGAATTTTAAACGATTTCGCCGTCAGCTAGCAATGCAGAGCGCTTTTGGGTCGTCTCTAGACGTCGTAACAAAACAAAGTACCGTAGAAGAACTTACAATAGCAGCAAGTAGAAGGGGTGGGAGATTATTTTGTAGGAGGAGGCTTGTAGATCACTTCCCTGGCCTTTGTACTCTTAGGATATCCAGGCCGATTTGGTCTTTTCATATTTGGGAGTTAGGGAATGGGTATAAATTTAGAAAGATTTGAACATGAAACTTTTGTTCGGGTTGACAAATGTTGGCTGCACCTTAGTCACGAAAGTGGATTCGCTCTCCGCCTCCTCTCTGAAAGGTACATTTAAGCAACAAAAGTATTACAATCAGCTTTCCGATTCTAACGTAACAGGGCGAAAGTAAGCCCCGGAAACTGAAGTGCCAACCTTGTCAAACATACTTTCAAACGAAAATTGCACCTTTCCTTTTAATTAACAGTTTTAATACAGTTCCAAATTGTACTTGAACAATAAATTATGTACGGAAAGCTGGTTAATGCAACCTTTTCTTTGCAAATGAATATTAGCCCTTCCTGTTGAATTAAGGAAACAAATTAGTCTTTCAAAGAGGCATTTCGAAAAAGTAGTAACTACGAACTTCATATACTAACCGCGTACTTCTAGCAACCATGGAATAATATCAAAAAATTGAGTAGTGGATAACTAAAAACGTTTGTAAAACGCTCCAAGACAATAATTTGCACATCAAATTTTCAACAATTTGGAGAAGACGGGAAGTACACAAATATTTGTACGTGTTTTACGGCTTTTAGGATTTAACCTTGAAACTGTAACCCGGACACCAAATAATTAACTCTACTTAATTTATTATTTCTAAGAATGGCATTGCCATTTCTGCCAGGGAATGTGTTCAACACTAAAGCAAGTATTCATAAAAGCTAAGATGCACCCATAGATTGGCAAAGAAAAATTCCATAAGTCGCATTATTTTGATAAAAGTATGGGTGCAGTCAATTTCTATTATGATAACAAACCGGGAATTGGCGGTGAACCGTTGCCGGGTCAGAGAATTGATCCACCAAAGAGCAGGTATCCTGATGGACATGGATCAAGTGCTCCTGCCTGGATAACCTTTGATAAACAGGTCAAAAATTCAATTGATTGTAATCTTGAATGTTTCCAACACACTTTAAGAATTAGAACTATCACTCTAATTAAAAATATGCGAGTCAAGATCGCATAGACTTGAATTTTAGGTCACATTACATAATATGCAGTGTGGTGTTAACAGGTTCTCTGCTTTGAAGCATACTTTCAACAAGCGGTTCATGAAAGTCGTGATGAGCAGTACCGTGTAAGAAGGTGCCAAGTCCTTTTCTACCTAGAGGATGATACAATCCAGGTTACGGAGCCTCGCATTCAGAATTCTGCCCTACCACAAGGTTTGCCGCCTTTTGTGTTTAATACGGAACTAATAATATCCAAAACAGCGTCTTACCTTTAACCAAATCTTTGCTTACAAATTAGAAACCACATTTCGAGCTTTAGTTTTGAGAAATTTTCCAGAATAATAATCAACCTCTTACTGAAATTTCAGACAACTTATTTTGCTTAAGCGGCTTATAAGACAACAAAATAAAATCCTTCATTTCCATTCACCAAAGACTATTATAATGGCATCCTTCAGCTCAAATGTTGAACCCCGAATCTAGGCACAATTGTGCGACGCCATCGAATTCGCAAACCACCACCGTACGAAGGATGCTTCTACACTGTGGATGACTTTAACGTGGGCATGGATCTTGAACTCTACGGGCGTGTCTACCGTTTAGTGTCATGCGACAAATTCACCGCCAACTTTCTGCGCAAACTCGGCGTTCGAGTGAATGAGCCAGAGCCCATTCCCGACGACCCCTACACAATTCATCGCATATCGGTGAGTTCAAGTTGACATTTTGCTATTTTTTGATGCTGATCTATCCCAAAGAAAAGAAGCCCTCTGTCGAATTCGGTGGATATTCACCAAATAAAACGTGGTTGGTTAACTTTTAGGTACAAGTGAGAGGTCTCCATCCATCACTTATGATGGACGTATCTGGGGAGGGGGGTAGGAGTCCAATAAGTTTCCCCAGCTATTGACCTTCATTTTCAGGTCTCTGACGCGATGCAACCACGACGTCCACATGAACGTGTTGATACATTGCGTCAATTCCTTAATCACGATCGCCACGTCTTGCGCTTCTTCTGTACGTGGGACGACACTGGCAGTCTCTACGGCGATGTTCGTGACTTTGTACTTAACTACTTCTTAGGTAATGCAGCATTATTAACGAGGGTAGATGAGCTTTGAACACCTCTACGCCAACATTTACCGCTTCTCCCTCCTTCTTTTTGCCCCAGGTGATGACACGATTGAGATACACGAGAGAATATCCGCAAATTCTGGGCGCGAATCTGTACCCTACTTTCTGCGACGCCAGAAACTGCCTAAAGGCGTTCCACCACTGCCCCTGCCAGGAACTGTCAGTAACCTAACCATCCTAAACACCTTGGGGACTGTACAAACCGGTAGCAGACACATGCTAGATAGCATAAAGCTGGGGACTCAACAGCCCGAATACTACACAGACGCGGACCTCACTTTGGGTGCCGTACTGAATGTTTTCGGACGAAAATTCCTTATTTGTGACTGCGATGAATTTACAAAGGAGTTTTATAGAAAGAAATACGGCGTCAGTGAGTGAAACTTGCTTTTAAAACAAGTTTTTTTATCTCACATTACTCGTACTCGACCATAAATAAAACTACCCGCTCTCATTAGTTAGCAGTGGACAAAAACACTTATTTTACAGTACGCGTCTATTTTAGAAACCTTTACTCCGGTGTGCCCCCCACGAAATGAGTGTGGCTACACAGTGAAGCGGGAGAATCCGCCCTACAATGGCTGGGGCTCGGACGAGGACTCCTTGGCTAACTGCTACAATCTCATTCCACGTCCGCCCAAGAAGACGTTCGAAGAAAGCTGCAGTGTGGACGTCCTCCGCTTTGCGGCACATCTCATCGCGGGAGTGGACGACGACGGTATCTGTGGCAATGTAGAGGTTACCCGAAGGCGAATCTTCGTCATCTCCTGCTTCCTGCGTGACAACACCTTTATGGTGTATGAACCTCCGGTCGCCAATTCCGGTAATATCATTGCAACTGGATTTGTTATCAGTGGAATTAAAGTTGAGAGGGATTTCCGTTGACGTGATCCCGTCCAGGTTTTAAGGGGGGAAAGTTCATGGAAAGGCGCAAAGTTATGAAACCCGGACAACCAATATTCCGAACTCATTTGCCGAGCTATTACGCACCCTCCGACATCTACATCGGCGGCCAGGTAGTTTTCAATAACTTTGTATTTGAAATCTACGGCGCGGATGAACACACGCTAGCCCACATGGAGGCTCATCCCGCCGAATTCCCCTATGCAGACGCGCAGGGTGTGTTACGACGTCTACGACCGCTTGTGGAGGGACGGGAGGAGACTATTCGTCGTCTGGCCACGGAAGCCGATCCGAGCGGAAGTGGAAGTATCGATTTTGCTGAATTTGGATGCCTTGTGCGAGAAATGTTGAAGGATCCCAGTGTGGAGTCCGTGTGCGTGGTGCCTCACGAGGTTGTCACACTGGCGCGTCATTATGCTCTCAAGTGAGTTGGGAGTGATGAGCAAGGCAAACAAACTGATTGCGCAACCAGCAGCCGATCGAATAGAACTTCATTTAAGCACAAATTCCTTTTTAGGGTACCAAAAGAGACCAACTACATGGCGGTGGTGGGGATGGCTCAACAACAGCTTCGAAAAGTCTCCTTTGAGGCCTTCCAAGAGATACTTGACGCCTGTCGATATGAGGACTTGGAGAACACCGGCAGTATAGATCGGGCTGTTTTAAGGCGAATTTGCAAAGCCAATCATCTACCCTTACCCGACGACATACTACTCACTCTCATGGAAATGTAAGTAGTATGGGGCTTGCCTCCAAGAGCTAAATTTATTGGCGATGGATGAAGAGATTTTGACAATCCAGCAATTGACACAAAAAGTGATGAGCAGTACCTTGCATTTTAGATCACAAAACTACGACAATGGAATGGTGTACTATGAGAGTTTCATCAATCAACTAAACTGGTGCTGCAATCCCGTGCCTCCAGGCACGGTGCCATGCGAGTACTCGGGCAACCTTGAGGTTGATTGGCCAGCGTTTATGAAAGCTGGCAAGGACGAGGGGAAGAGAGGTGGCTGCATCAGTGCATTTGACTCGTTCAGTGGGGGGAGGGTTAGACACGTCGCCCTCATTGAAGACCTAATCAACCTGGCGAAGTGCTAAGCAGGCAACAACTTGACCGCTCCCCCCCACTCACCCCCTATGAATAGACTAGGGGTATATATTGTAAGGTTTTTTAAGTGGCACACCAGAATAGAGTTAGGCAAAAAGAAAGTAAAACGCCTTCGCACAATGCATCCAAATAAGCATTTTCTCCTCTTTTGCACATCTGACCCATAATACTCAAGTGGCAAATAAATAGTCGGTTTCGTGGCATGGAAATATGCCACTTAGACTCTAACCTGTACCACTTAAATTGGCTGGAGAGTAAGGGACGCCTGCCATTTCGAATAGATTTTAAAGTCACAGGAAATGGGGCGTCAAATTCGTGTCCCTACTTATTGTCAAATAAGTAGCACATGCCGTGGCTTGAATTTCCCATCTCACTAATACTGCTTGGTGCGGCTGTCATAGGAGTAATTAGGGAGGCTCGTGGGTAGTGCTTTATCCATGGTAATTTCTGTCCCCCTCCCCATTATGTGGCGACCGCCTGTCCTGTCAACTTCGCATTGGAGCTTTGTCATTGTGAGGTAACGGAAAGGGTCAGGTGATGCTTTTAAGGTGACGTAGCGGTTGTACCGCCCTTAGTCCGACCATCTGTAGGTTAATTTTGCTTTAGAAGGTGAGAAATTTTGCTAGAAGAGTTTGATAATGTCTACTGATTACCATAGGTAGTGTCGCTTCTTGAGTTCTAATTACACAGACAACAGATAAGGATTAATAATTTGGGTGGGGTGTCAGCGGGACAGATAAACCGGGTCGCCTTATCAGAGCAGATGTAAAAGCCCGCGGAAAAGGGTAAATTTTTCACTTCTCTGTTCTCCCTTACATACTACTTTAATGAGGAACGGTTATATAAGTAGCCCAGGACCTGTCTCCTCGTCCGGTGCCAAATCATAAGAGAGGAACTTCAAAATCCGTCTTCCAAGTTTTGGATTTACGGACGATCGACCTTGACCAGTGCAGCTGCGTAGAAGGGCTTTGGATGCGATGGTTGGCATTCTTACCCCCCGCTTCCCAACAAGGCGCAGGCTTACGGAAACACCTCAGCCTGCCTCCAAAAGCAGAGAATGCAGCCCCTGTTTCCCCCCTCCCCTCCCATCACTAGCACTTTTTGTCCGACATATAGGGATGTCAAATGTTAATGCCACGAGTAAAGGTGATAATAACCCCTCTTGGGGGAAGGAGCGTATGGAACTAAGCTCTGGTGGAAGAAGTCATAAGCCTGCAGAGATTTCGTTTTGCAAGAGGGGGGAAGCTACTGCTTCAATTCGTTGACCTGACACACCTCTGACGGTGGTCTCTCTCCAGGCGCAGTCACACGCCCGAAAAGCAGGGTGACAGATGGGAAGTGAAATTAAGGGAGAAATGGCGGCAGTGGCGCCCTCAGAGGTTAAACACCTTACAAAAAAATAATTGAAATTTGCAGCCATCTTGTGCCTCTCTGGGATGGAGATGTTGATCTTTGCCCAAAAATGGGAAAGCAATATCTCTAAAACAATTGTGATGCAAAATGGAGCAACTTTGAAAGTACCTTCTCCAGAATTACACACAAAAAAATTACTACAAATTGCGGAGAAAGGGTTAACAGTATCGGTAGATCACGGGCGTGAATAAGAACACACTCACACTTACGTAAATTCCTTCGTAAGATTTGCCTCTTTTATGTGTCAAGGCAGAAGACGCAGAGTTGAGCCAAAACAGAAAGCGACTTATTTAAATTGACAAAGCAAGCAAACAGGCTACAAATTAAGCAATTGAAACTACGAAGAAGAAGGAAAGTAGTAGAAACGCGTTTATGAGTGTTATTTGTGTCTTTCTGTATATTCGCGGAGCGAAAAGGTGTATCGTAAAAAGAGTACACTTCAATTAAATAACCAGGAGAGAAATTCACTACTGCCGCTTGCAGTTTTTGCCGCGTTTACCGCCTGCGCATTTCTTGCCTAAAAGGTGAAGGACGTGTCACGCCTGCTACTTATGGCATTTCAGTAGACGAACATTAACAAAGCCCATTTGATAAATGGTAGACAAAAGACGGCAAAAAAGTCATCACATAAAAGTCCTACCGCGTTTCCGATCGTCTTCAACAGAGCGGGGTTTCTGAAACAACAATTTGGTAAAGTAACAAATGCACAGTTTTTACTTCTTCGTTTGGTTCGGAAGAGGAAATGGGCCTACCTTGAAACGCCGCCTCTTCGGCTTTTGGCTACCTGCAAGAGATAAACAAAGGACACGTTTTTTTCCCAAACTCATCTAAGGGTAAAATAACAAAAATCTAGCGACAAAAAATTCGACATCGTGAGGGTGCGTACGCGGCTTCAATTTGCCTCGGTTAGGGTTGCGTTTGCCGCCCTTCTTGCCGCGGTGTTTTTTGGATCTGCTGTCAACTTCCGTGTCACTAAATAGGGAAAAAGTGGAAATTTTTTTGACGATTACACAGGTGGTTATAAATGAAGTATCCCCCTACCCTCCTCCTTCTCCGACCTGGAGGTCGTGAGGCCTAAAAGGAGAGAATAAGAACAGCTTATAAGCAGTCCACTGATCGTGAAGGCTCTTTCCGTTCCGGTTTTAGTTTGTACGGCTGAGGGGTCACTATAACAAGTCAGACCAGCTCATTTAAATCCATTTATCACCGTCTGTAGAGGTATGACTTATTGACGATAAACAACCGATTCAAGGTTACTGCATTGCTTTTCTGAAAAAAAGTGGTGAGTCACTGAGAGGGATTTAAGGCCACACTTGGTCCAAGCAAGTTAAGGCGAATTCGCGCATGACCTTGTGCCGGTACATATCCTCCCCTCCTGTCCGAATTTGGGTCGGACAAGCTGCAACTTAGGACGAAAAAGGGGCCGATGCCTTTCCCCCAGTCTCTAACACCTTCGTTTTTGTGCCTTTCAACAAGGATGGTGGAAAAGAGATTATGGTAGGAGGTGGAAGCACTCACGCCTTGACCATTGTCGCCGCGGGCTTGGCTTCAGCCAGCTCGAAGCAGGCAATGAGGGCGACGACTGCCAAAGCGCATAAAATCCACTTGCGCATTTTGCTGTTCAAATTAAAAGAAAAAAAAACGAGATGAAGAACGGGAAAATGATTTCAAACCATTGCTCTGGCTGAAGCGCCGGTTACTATGCTAGCCTCATCAATTCGACTCCAGTATCTTATCAAAAAGTCAGTAATTTCTACATTTTAAATGCAAAGCGATTGTTTTAAGAGATGATTTTAACCCAGTCATGAAATAAGCGTTATTCTGCAACCGATTTGTTTGTTTAATATAGTTTTGGGATTGTCCTGAATTAAGGGGGAAAAATTACTTCAGGAGAAGCAAATTTTGCTTCCAACAGTCATACGGGAATAGCGATAACTCTTCAAAGCCTCGTAATGACAAAAAATGCCCCATCTTCAAGTGGCACATAGCATTTTGGATTATTTTTTTGGCAGCTCTTGAAGCACGACATTTATCCTCGTCTACTTCAGTTGTAAAATAGCTTTTATAGTCAGTAGTTTAAGCTCCACATCGGCAGAATTGCGGGTGGCACAGCAACCCTTACACCTGTAAAGCTTTTGCGGTCATTGTTTGAGAGAAAAAGATGCTCCAGCACTGTTCAGACAACCAAATCACCGGAATATCGGGCTCATGTTCCTAGAAAACACGAGAAGTTTTCCCCAAAATGATAAATTCAAGAGAGTTAAAGAAACAATTTCCATACGGGAAGGAAAGCTGCATCTCATGGAATTTACTTAGAGGAACATTAAGCGACTCCAACTGTTAAACGAGTAGATAAATTGCGTAAAACAAAAATTAAAAATAACATCCACTTTAAATCACAGTTTCTGCTAATAAAACCGTAGCAAAAAAAACTGGGTTTTTAAGCCTCCTCTAAATTAGCAGATTAAAATGGAATGAGAGAAAAGCGATTAACAAAAAGCAGGCACCGGATACGCGAGGTCTGACAACGCACCGAAAGACGAATGCAGTCTACGATGACCCCCCTGCCGCGAATAGCGTTTACGAGGCTTCGTATCCGATACTTGAATTGGCCGCACGCCATGTTTGACCAATGGGAGAGCGAACTTAAGTGTGCATTGGCCAATAGGCGTGGGAGTCTTGTTGACTGGTGCATTGACTGACTGTCGCTTGTTTACACTCCGCCGAGATGAGAATGACGTCGTTGCGTGCATTCGGCTGGTTGGAGGGAGAGGGGGGAGGGCAGAAATGACGCAATACCTAATTGATGAATTCTCGACTTTGCAACATCAGTAGCCCAACCAAGTTAAAATAAATACAAAAATGGCAGTCCTATGCCCAAAATTTTCCGATCACACCACGGCGTGGCGAGCATGGCAGCGGATGACGCCAAAAGCCAGCGCTGTGGGGTGGTAAGGTGTCACGTTGTCGGACCCAACGCTAGACGCGAGCTCTCGCGTCAAGAGCGTCAACACAATTACCGCGCGCTGTAATTTGTGCACAAGCATTGATTTATTGATTTTTTTGCACGACTTACGCGACGAGTCAGCCATCGATCGATACTGATCGTGCTTTTTGGTAATTTTAAATGACAGCGGAAGCAAATTTTAAAGCAGACACGTTTTTTAGCGCAAAATAAAAAGTACAAATCGCATTATGCCATTTAAATGCGCTTAAATGTACTTAAAAATGGACTTGTTTAGCAATTTCGATTGGCAATGGCGGTTGTAACTTTGCCACAAATAAAATGCATGCAGAAATTCAAGATATGGATGTTAGACATAAATTCCGCAATGCTTATTTCTGCCATTATTTAAAAGTGGTGGTGATTTTATTTTGCCAGAAATCGCGCCGCTCCACGAGACCATTTTTGATTGGTTAACTAGCATTGATCGATCCAAAGGGTCCACCCTTGAAGGTCCCTCTCGTTCGTTCAATGGCAAACAGCCTTTAGGGGGGGGGGGGAAAAACAATGGCATTTGACAACAAAAACCCACAAATTACAGCATTTTGGCAAATCAAAGCGACTGGGGGAAGAAAATTGATCATTTTATCATTCTGGATCGGAACAATGAGAGAGGGAGACACGTGGTGAACAAGCGGTGGAACTAGGGAGGGTTAAGGAATTACTGCTTATCTAGCGCACTGGCTACCTTTGCAACTAGGCCTTGTAGCCATTACCTTCAAAAAAGTCGAACTGAGGTAGGGAAATCACTTAGGTCAACCCGAGTTGGGGCTTAGAACACAAAGGGGAGGTTTGGTTAAATCCATGTGTACTGATTCTAGTTTTCCCTAGCCATGTACCACGCTGATGGTGCATATTTCTTCCTTGAAAGTTTTCATTGGACCGTAGGTCAAGCAGTTAAAGCAACGCACTTGATTTGGTCATAGAGTCCGCATTTATTACCCTCCAAAGGTCATCAAAGTGTGTGTGGGTCAGGGTCATGTCTTAGTAAATGGTCTAATTAAGTGAACAAGAGGAGGAAAAGGAAGAAGTAGGTGGAAGTCTTCAAATAACGACTAGCCGTACGAACAACTTTAGTGACACTTCCGACCGTAATGCGCCTTTCCCATCAAAGAGTGTGCTGTTGTCATTCTTTCCCGTAAATAAAAATTTGGGGGACCCTTATACCTCATCTTGGATACCTTAAACCCGTGTAAGCTATCATGGGGTTGTACAAGGGATGGAACTCTCTGATGACAACAACAAACACGGTAACCATCTTATAGAGTCACGTCATCCCACATTGATCCGAGGAGTTAAACACCTCATTAAGTCGACGGGGTGTTTGGACAGGAGAAGTCGGGAATTTCTGACTGCATCATTTCAAATGACGAAATGTGGGCAGAGGAATCCAAACTCTGACCTACCTTTAATCTAATTGGAGGAGGTCAAGGTCACATGGGTTATTGCACATGCAATCAAAGTCGAGGATGTAAGAAGGCGGAGTGTGGCAAAATACATATTTCATGGCATTTTCCGGGTTGGTGGTATGGATTACTGAACAGTTGGGAATATCTCGGATATCCAGTACCGTCTCTAGTGACATTGAAGCGGTTATACTGGTAAAATGTCAAAAGGTCAATTGACTCTAAAAGGTCGCGTGGTCATCTAACTTCCTTTAAAACGAAAAAGGTACTGTTGCATCATTTAATAACTGCAGGCTAAGTTGATTCCACTCACCCATCTGATAACTGTGGAGGGGATGGATGCGACGATTGGTCTTGGATCTACAACAACAACAGTCGAGGGGAAGCTCTTCCAGGAGGACAAAACAAAATGCCCTAACGCAAGGTAGAACAAGGCCAGGAGAAATATCATTTTTCATGGAACAGTTCTTCGCCGAGAGAAAAATTCTACATTTTGGAGTGGTTAAACGTCAGGCGGGGAAGCCACACGGCCTTAGCTCCATTTATCAACTTTTAGTGACGTTAACGTTTGACAAGCACACAGTCACATGCTGAAATGGAGTAAAGAGAAGTGAAATAAATCGGCGAAGAAGCAAGAGGAGGGCCGTCCGTGCATTTATCCATCTACAAA